GCCGCCGCCGCGTGCGGCACCGGGTGCTCAGCGGTTATCCCCGCTTCCCTGCGAAAGCCCCACTGGAAATCTCAAGCGGGAATCGTTGCTATTTAAAGGTTGTACCTCTTGAGCGTGGGTTGCTTGAGCTGTGCCTTGCAGCCTGCCTACAGGGAGCAAATAGTGCTACGTTAAAAGAAGATGTGGAAGATAGTGGAGTGTACACTACTCCCAAGTCTGTGTTGTAGCCTGAACGTGTGTCAGAAAGGGTATGAAAATTGTTTCCGTGGCGATTCAAAGAAATCGACCCAACAGCATGATACTGTTAAGCAGACATTCCTTTAGAGACGGCGCCGGGTGCGTGCATGGTTGCACCTCCTAATAAACACGCATCGCGGCTCCAGATGGGACAGCCTGTGTTTCAACAAATCATGCATATTTGTCGTATTTTCGATAACTCATATGTTAATTATTTCCCCAAAATTATTATCATGTCTCCACCTCCTTCGTGCCTGCACAGTCAATTGAGGCGGTGGTCATTGACGGTCTCTGTGATGCCCAGTGATCAACTCGTAGTCTTCATCACCTGTCCTCTGGATGAACTCTCTTGCTTGGTGCATATGTGTTGTTCCTTATCTTGATTCCTAACCCCACAGCTGGTTTCAGAAGGTACCAGTGCCTTATCGTTCTGGAGGGCTTGTTACACAGACCCTCTGACTATCATTGTTTCACTGCAGGAAAACAATGCAAGGCATGTATAGCTTAAGTAGACCACAAAGTTCTAGGGTTAGGTATTGCTAAAGCTAGAATTCCTTAGCTCCTCTCATTAATAGAATCAAAGAATTTTAGGGTTTGGGATGGACCTTATAGATCACCTAGTCCCAACCCCCTGCCATAGGCAGGGACACCTCCCCACTAGACCAGGTTTCTCAAGGCTTCATCCAACTTGGCTTTGAACACTGCTGGGATTGGGGCATCCACTGCCTCCCGATGCAACTTGTTGCAGTATCTTACCACCCTCACAATAAAAAACTTTTTCCTAATGTCTGTCTTAAATTTCCCCTTCTTCAGTTTGAATCCATTAGCCCTTGTCCTGTCACTGCAGTTCCTAACAAAGAGTCCCTCTTCAGCTCCCCTGTACCCCCTTCAGATACTGGAAGGCTGCTCCACGCAACCTTCTCTTCTCCAGGCAGAATAGCCCCACCTTCCTCAGCCTGTCTTCATAGGGGAGATGCTTCAATCCTCTTATCAAATTTGTGGCCTTCTCTGGACTTGCTCCAACAGTTCCATGTCCTTCTTATGTTGAGGACACCAGAACTGAGCGCAGTATTCCAGGTGGGGTCTCACGAGAGCAGCGTAGAGGGGGTGAATCACCTCCTTTGACTTGCTGGCCACACTCTTTTTGATGCAGCCCAGGATTCGATTGGCTTTCTGGGCTGTGAGCGCATACTTTTGATCATGGGTCGCTTGGCCTGTGTCTTGAAGACTTACTAAATCTGGAAACTCTCCAGGGATGCTGCCTACCTACAGGGAACAAATAACGCTTCGTTAGGAAAATACATGGTAGATAGCGGAGTGTACACTACTCCCAAGTCTGTGGTATAGTCTGAAAGTGTGTCAGAAAGGGTATGAAAATTGGTTCCATAGATTCGTGTTCAATTTAGAAGCTTCCAGCAACAATTATTGTGTATAGTAAGGTGCAATACAGGTATGGAAGCCGAAAACCAGATGAGTTCCCTTCCAAGCTAAAGGAGAAGTGAAGTGTAGGTTTCAGGTCAAGGATGGTGGCATTTCTCCATGGTGCTCTGTTTAAGCCTTCAGAGGTGAACGGTTATTGTTGGTATTTCAGCAACAGTTCAACAAATGAAGTGGTTAATAGAAGTGAGAACATACTTGTGTTGTGTATTTTGAAGTCCACTGCATTTTTAGACTAGTTGTCATACTTTTCAACAAAATAACATTTAAAAATGTGTCATTCTTCCATTCCAAATGGATGGTCCTTATTTAAACTGCATAAATTGATGAAGGTTCTGGCTCATGTAACTGTGTTTGGAGTAGGAAGACCTTTTCCTAACTCGATATCTAATAGCCCTTTTGGGCCACCTGTTATTCTATCAAATAGTCTTAGGCAATTAAAGTATGGTGATAATAAAATGACAATAAAAATTTACTAGTGTACTATGTCTAAATTTATTGAGGTGATATTTTGAGAACATCTTGCTATGATCTGAGCAGTACTCATCTGTTAGTTTTAGTGGTGTAAACCTTCCTGTGGAGATAGTCCAGGAGTGTGTAACTTCAGACACATTGTGATGCTCACAGGATTGAAGGGTCTGTTGGGAAAGCTGTCTATCTGTGGAAAGACTTTAGGGAAAGCCAAAGGGAGATGTCATAAGTACCAGTGGCATTATCTTCTGGTGATGATCTCCCATCCTTAAGGTTATTAACTGGGCACTAAAGTAAATAAGGGTGAACCAGCTATGAATGGGGAATGGCAACATCTGAGAGAAATGGATACTGTGTCATTAAATAAATGGGAAGAGGAACAAAAGCATCTCAGTTCACAATTAAAAGGCACTGGATTGGACATATAGAAATGGAGCAGGCAAACAGTTCCAGTTATGTGAAAAAAAAATGACAGTTGTGATTTTGTTCCAAAATCTCAAACAGATGAGACTCTGGATCAGCTGATGTGTTGGCAGCCACTTTGAGACAGCTTTGTTCTGCAGTCTTGTGATCCAGACCCTTAAGGGGATTTAGTCCTACCTATGTGTAATGGTTGGTCTGTTTTATTTTGAATAGCTGTAGTAGCCAGTCAGGAATGCTTTGCTATTTTTCTTGTCCTCTTACATAGTATACTTGGTTTCTGTGGTATCAGTGACAAAGAAAGCCTTGCAACCATTTGATGTTTACCATAATGACATAAGACTAAATAAACAGGTTATTAACTGTTGGTTGGAAAGTTAAAGGTAAACTGACTTTGTAAGAATGATATTTAAATTAATGGGATGTAAGAGGTTTTGCTAATTGGCTACTGTAGCCCAGCACCTAAAAAAAGAGTAAGAATAATAAATAAATTATTTGCTTATAAGAGGATTTTATGATTGAATTCTGTATCCCAGCAACTGAAAAAATGTGACTGCAGTATCTGTATGACCATCACATACAGTTTTGGTAAGCATTTTACGCTTCTTTTGATGAGAAATCTTTTTAAATTTTTGGATTGATTTTTTTCCCTTTAAAAAGGTATCCAAAGAGGGTTATGCTTAAAAAGGAAGTGTTTGTTTTTCCCATCCAAGGTTGTTTGGTTTTTTTGGTGGGAGGGAACAGTTACAGAGTAATCCATGTTTAGTCACCTTTTGTAATATACGCTCTTCATGTTATTCTTAGTTATGGAAATAAATCTTGCTTTAGAACTCTTCTTTCGTCTTTGCTCTTGAGAAAACTTTCATAGAGTGTCTTTTATAGTTTATCACTGCAGCGTTTTCTACTGATTTGCTTCAAAACATCAGATTAAGGGTTGATTTAAGCAGAAACTACTTCATCAGATGTGTTATCCATTTGATGTGTTCAATGAAAGTAGCGAAACTGTAGTGTTTACAAAAATTTAAGAAATACAGAGGATTTGAATGTCCAGGATCATGTTCTTTTCTGGTTTTTGAGCATAATCTGATAAGAAATCGTAGGAATTTGTGTATTTTAATGTTAACTTTTTTAAATGGGTTATTACTAGCAATTTGTTCATGTCTGCTGAATGAGTTGTAGATGAAGGGTAGGTGTTTCAAAGCTGTCTGAAAGAGCTAGATGTTTCAGTCTTGGAAGAAACTAATAGGAGAACATGTAGGTACTTGGGAATCTTTTTATGCACAAAGAAATAATTTAGGAAGTCTTGTACCAAATTCTGCTTCTTCTCCCCCCTTTCCTCTTCTCCATCTTGTTCTCAGACTGGAAACTATTATTTTTCTGCCTCAAGTCGCATTGCCTGTAATCTTAAGTATTTTAATTGCACTGATGTAGATTACAATCCATGCCAAGTTGCTTGAGGGGAAACAAATAGTTGTTAAACTCCTTGCTAGCTCTTTGCATTCTATTTGCATAGAGGAAACAGTGCTTATAGAAATGCTGTTTGTTTTGTTTTTTATTTGGCAGGCAGAGTTGCGAGCAGCAGTGTTTTTGGCATTAGAAGAACAGGAGAAAGTAGAGGTAAGAGAACGTTGAAAAATAAATTAGAAAGAAAAAACATCCCGGTACTACTTCTTGTAGAATTAAATATAATAGCAGTAATACTTCCAGCTTTTGAAGTGTAAGAAGAGATATGTATGTATTTCTGCATGAGAACATTATGTGTAAAGAACACAGAATGGGACTATCACGGTGTTTCCTGATGTTTAAAAATACAGTTTTGAAACTGTAATTTTAAGTACCTGTCTGTGCTGGGTTTATATTGCTTTTGTCCAGTTGACCAGAATAACTAAATATCTTCTCCATCAAACATTTATTTTTAAAAAGTATCTAGTTGACTGATCAAGATTTTATCAAATCAGAATAATGTCTTTTGAAATTTCAAATATTATAGTGGAGCTTTTTTGACAAGTGTACTGTGAAAGCAATTTAATGCTGTAAAATGCCAAGTATGATCTTGCTTTTGGTATTTCCCTTAAGGATGTTGTAGGCTTGCTGCAGAATAATTTGCTATAAGACTAAAGGATGAATTCTTAATTAAGAGAATTAATAGACCGATACCTTGACAATGTAATAATACTAAGGGAATGAGATAGTAGCACAACAGCATTACCCTACTACTGCAGTATACACAGACCAGTTTTGTGACTTATTCTACTGCCAACATTCTTTATTTCCTGTGTCTTTCCCTTTTCTAGAACTAAAGAGTAGAGAGTGCTGTGGGATGAAAAACTGTCCAATTCCTTTACTAGTTAGATGGCTGTGCTCTTTCTGGAAAATTGCATAACTGAAACAGTATTGTGGCATTAGTAAGGAGGGGAAGTATTTATTCTATGATACAAGATTCCAGAAATGTAACATAGGATTGCTGAAGAAGACATGGTGAAAGAGTGGTATAGCAGGACAGTTCTTTCTCTTATGGGAAGCTTCAGCATATTACAGAGTACTCAGAGAACAACCTCCCACACCATCTGGAGAGTACAGCGCTGAAAGAGATTTCAGGTCACGATTTTCCAGAAAGATTACATGTGTATATATGATATTTTAAATTTACACTGTAGACACTGAAAATCTGTTAATACTTATCACTGAATTCATAAATATTAAGCAAGATAGATTTCTTTCAGGCAGCACTTTCTTGTGTGTATTAGTAACTACAATTATAGAGACAAATAGCTATAACAGATCCATTTCTTACCCAGGATATTTTGATATGTTGGGATTGGCATTTAGAATTCTGTTTGAAAAGTCTCTGAACAATCCCTGACAAACATGTACATTGATTTATTTATGTTTAAAAATTAGAGAGGGCAAATCTAACAAGGGAAAAAACCTCACACTTTTGTAATATCTTTGAACGTCTTTTAATTAATAGAGGATTAGTACTGATTTGTGAACTAGTAATTAGCATGGTCTACACTTTGTCTGGAAGATTTGTAAATTTCCATTTTTTAAAAGGTTGGACTGAATTTGCTTAAACAAACTTCTCAGTATATAAGAGGAGCAACCTGGGAACTTAACTGCTTAACTTAGTTTTCAGTCATTAAGTATATAAAAATCAGTATGCTATTAAGAATTTTGATGAAGTTACTTTAGCTCTGAGACAAATTTAATTTAATTTGCCTAAATAAACTTACTGCTCTGTAGCTTATATTTGCAGGTAGTAGAATTAATACCAAGGTAAATTTTGAAGAAGTGAATTACCTGTGCAAGGCATCATTGTGGAACAGAGTACACCCAACCAGTAGCTTGATGTGGCTTTCAGTTTCTTGCTAGCACAACAATGATGTTAATTACTGTTTGGCTTTTGCTTTTTAACAGAACAAAGCACCTCTGGTAAATGAAAGCTTGAAAAGTTTTTTAGGTACAAAAGATGGTAAGTTCTTTGTTTAGTATACTTCTCAAAATAATAAAAATAGGAAGCAAAGGATTAAATCTTGGCATTTTTCATTAACAGTAGTCTTCATGACATAAAGGATGCTTTTTTCTTTTGCATGTCATAAATACTATTCATTCAGAATAGAATTCAGTCTGTAATTTTTGACATTAATATTGCTGAAATTGTATTTTTAACTAAGCTGATTAATGCTTTTAAATTAATACTTCATGATGTCTTATGGCTATGCTAACTCAGAGACATCCTAGACCAATAGAAACAGTAACCATTGAAAACTAACTGTAGAAGTAGTGAATATACACATTGGAGAAATTTCAATATGATGTGTTTAAAACAGCTGAATAGTTTAAAAAATAATCTTACACCTGAAATTTCTAAGTAATCTCTATGCTCTTGCATAGAGACTTGAACGATTTTGATATGATGGCTAAGTTAGAATTCAGGGACTTGATATACAAATTTGCTACATGGTGTTAGTTTGCTGAATGTCTAAACTGTGTTCATACTGAAGCCATGTTAATGTCAAATCTTTGAAGTAAGAGTTGTTTCTGTCTGATATGTTTTTACTCTTCTCATTTCCTTTTTAGGTCGCTTGGTAGCAGGTCTTGTTGCAGAATTTCTACGTTTTTTCAATCTTGATTTTACATTGGCTGTTTTTCAGCCTGAATCAAGCACAGTAAGCTATACTGGTTTTATTTGTAAGTTTTGCTGGCTGTTAGGAGTGCATGGCAATTAATACAGAAGATACAGCACATTTGTTCAAGCCACTTGCTTGTTTTTATAAATAATTTTTTATGTTTAGTCTGTAAAAGGTACTTAATGTCATAAAGACACATTTTTCAGGAGAGTGTGCTAATATGAGTATTTCCCTTTATCAAAAATCCATGCTTGATAATAAATTAATTTTGAATTAACAAGCTAATAATTTTTGTGGCATCATAATAGTATGTGCAACAGAATTCTATAACATTTTTTGCCACTGAGTTTACTATATGGCAAAATAATATTAAGTAAGTATTGTTACATTAAAATTGAAATAATGTTAGTAATCTGCTCTAAGAGAAATTTCAGTGAAACAAAGGACTTTGTGTAAATATACTTGTCCAAAAGGGATTGAATAGAGCAGATCACTTGGGAGGGAACTACAGCAATTGTGTAGCCCAACTGAATGCTTAAAGCTTTTGATACTGAGTTAGAGGGTTTGATCACATTTGTCCCTTCATCTCCCTTCTATGATACAAAGGTTTTATTACTAATTTTGGGTTTGAAACAGTTTCATTTCACTGCAGAATTTCTCTTGACATTTCAAACAGTTCTATTTCTCAAGTCAGTTTAAATGCTTACTATATTAAAATCCAGCTTTGTCAAGTAAATCAGTTAGTTGACTTCTATTTCTCAGAAGGACAGGTTTTTTTATAGGGGCTTAATCAAAGAAAATACCATATACACCTGTTCTTTTCCAAATAACCTTAGCTGCATTTGTTGCTAATTTTTTGCTAGGACATAGGTGTACAAAGACTTTTTCCAATGAATGTATCTTTTTCACTGATTGCAGTGCATATATGAAATTTGGCCAAAGTTAAGTAAGTTGGCCAAGACTCCTGTGTATAGTGCTGAGAGATTGACTTTTTCTTTCTCTACTAGCCCCTGCCTTTGAGCAGTTTGTTGCATTGTCCCTTTATTAACTATGTTTCAGTGTGCTTGACGAGTGGTGGCTTGCTTCAGTATTTGCTTGACCATTGTTTTGATTGGAAGTGTTACTAAATAATCATAAATTCTTAAATCTTGAAGTGTGCAAATAATGGATCTTGCATATTTGAAATAACTTTGCATGATCTGTGGTAAGTTCAGGTGCAGATCAGAAATAAAGGATGCAATAGGTGGTATCTAAAAGGTGTGTCGATGTGGCACTTAGCAAAATGGTTTAGTGATGGACTTGATGATCTTAATGGTCTTTTCCTACCTAAGTGATTCTATGATTTTATTACTTTGGTCCACATGCAACAGGAAGTCTTAAATAATCACTGTTTAGTCAAAGTAAGAGCTGTGTTAAATAGCACCAAAAAGCATTTTTGTATTACTCTCTCTATATATTGTTTTCTGATGGTTATTTCTGTGTTGTGATTCTTTTTTTTTATCCCCCCTCAGCTAAATGGCCTTGATGGTCGAGATAACTTAGCCCGAGATTTGGGAATTACAGAAGCAGAAGGGACTGTGGGTGGTCCCCTGTTGCTGGAGGTTGTTAGGAAGTGTCAGCAGAAAAAGATTTCAGGTGGTGGTGAAGTAAGTAGTATTAATGTATAATTTCTTTCTTTCTTTATAATTCTTTATTCATTTTAATTTAAATTATGAAAAATAAACTGAAAGTAAGAACACTTGGCTATTGGTATAGTGTTATACTCTTTCAGGTCTTTATTATATTATGCTTTTAACTTATCAGAGAGATAAGAGATAAACATTATGACTATTCTATTGCTTTTACTGCTGTCCTAGTGCTCTTTGCTATTATTCTGCTACAACATAGTAGCACAGAGTGAATCCAGATAAATGGATAAAATACTGTGTTACTTATTTACTAATTTCTAGTGTGGCTTGATAGCACTCTGTACCTATTTTCTTTGGCATACTTCTAATTTTACTATGACCTGAGAAGCCTAGGATGGGTTTTATTAAAAGCTTTAAAGCTGTTCTGAAAACATATGTATTTAAATATATCAAAGTATTGAGTTACTTGAAGGCAATAACAGTAATATTTTAAAAGACTATTTAATTATTCTGTTAATTAAATGAGTGAAATTCAACCAATTTGATTGTGACTTGAAAGAAGGTTCTCTACACCCAAGATGCATTTGCTACCCCAACAAAAGCTTAAATTCAGAAGTAGTTGTCATAGATGTCTTAACATAGAAGTTTTGTGTCACATGAAAGGTGTGTGTCCTTGAACCCTATGTGTTTGATCAGCCTGTCAGTGCCCCAGGAAAGGCAGGACCTTGTGCCTGACTGGTCGGTCAGCTTCCCATTATGGAGACTCCACTCAACAGTTCACTGCATCAGGGGGCTCTTCAACTGAGTTGTTCAGGGACATGTGCCAACAGCATATCAGAGTCAAATCCTGTATTACAATTTAGAAAGAGAGACCTCCTCCTGGATCTCCTCACTCTTAGTTGAGTATGTTATCCACTGCCAGCGATTTACAGTGCCCTTGAAGGACTCTGGCTAAACAGTGTGCAGAATAACACACTGTATTAATAAACACACTGATACTAGAAAATTGTGACAGCTTGAGGTTCAAAGATTGCCGGTGATAATAACTGCAGAAACATATTTAAGGCACTATACAGACCAGCCCTAATGACCAAGGAAAGCCAGCTGGAGATAATCACTTCGCATGCATGGAATACAATTCTTACCTAATGAGCATCCATAGCAGGGGGAACATGGGTACTGCCCATTGACCAATCCCAGAAGTTACAATGGAGTCTTCCCTAACTTCTCCCCATTCTTAACCTACTTTTATACTATTACTTTACATTTAGGTGGAGTTTGAGTGACTCTAGTCATGCACACTTTTGTTACTGTTTGGTGTAAAATTTTCTCGCTTTGCTATTAATAGCAAATTATATAGTCACCAAAATACAGACCACATGCTCAGTGAGGAGTGGCTATACCTTGGAGGCAGGTAACTTTGGGATGGAAGTGTGTATTAGGATTACAATTAGATTATAATGAACCAAGTTCATCCAATGAGACCGATTTTGCCACAGTTGCTGGTCAAGCATCAAGATGACATCTCTTGTCTCTGTTGGTTGACAGCTGCATGGTTTACCAGCTTCATGGTACCATTGAGTTCCCATCCCTGGAAGGAACACAAGACAGCCTGGCTACAATGTCTCCACTCTGCTCCACCCTGTTTCATTTCCCTTACCACGTGATTAGGGTTGCAGGCTGTGTTGTGTGGGGAATGATCGTGGAATAGATTTCATGCGTGCCAACCGCATTCCATCCAGGAAGCAGCAGCTGCATTCCACCCTATAATTTCCAGACTGCTATAACTTCTGTTAGAATGTGAATAAAACTATCCATTTTTTTCTAATTTTACCCCCAGTCATCTTCCCCCACACGGTGTCACAGCTTGTGTACTGTGTGAGTGAGGATGGCAGCCTTGTTTCTTGTTGGGTGGAACTATGACAAAATTAAATGCATTTTTTAAAAAGTGTTTATGTGAAACTCCTTAGGTGGCTCCAGTTCTAAGTGACAACCAGTGCCCCGCATCAAAATCATCTGATGGCAGGTCAAGTACACACTCTATACCAAATAAGGTAAGGTTGTTCATATATAATGACTAAGCTTCATAGTGTAGATGAGATAAATAAAAGAGAGGACTCCCATGAAGCTGCAGATACGATGACATTCACTTAGATGATCTACAGTTTGAAAGTATTTATTTCACTTTAGCAATTCCATATATGAATTCAAGCAAAGACTGTTGCACTTGTGGCTTCTCAGATGACATAGTAAGAGCCTCTCAGGGCCCAGAATGGAAAAGTAGCTGTAGCATCCCTTTACTCCAGTCAGGCTGTCATTATGCTCTTAATTTTCAGCAACAATTCTCTTCCTTTAGGATAGGAAATTAAAGTATTGTTGTTACTGCCACTTACGGGTTTAAGTACTTGTTCTTGCCCTAGAAGACCTGAGTTGTTGCCAAGAACCAGATGGGATTCAGTGAGTGAGATAAAATGACCTTGGTATGAAAAAGACCTACCAAGGTAATTTTAAGTTTCATGGCCTGTAGTTTGAAAATGTTATGTCAACCTGCTGAATGAAAGTTAATGACTGATAAAGAAATACTTTAGACAGTACAACCTACATGCATACTGGTTATCTGGATGAAACAATACTGTTGGTTTTGTTTCAAAATTGTGCTGCTATGACTGCGTACAAAGGAAGTTAATGTAATAAGTAAATCTTTTTGCTGTCTTAAGTTTAATAAGTCTAGGAGAAGACAAAATTAGCAATGCTGCATGCTAGGTAGAAAAATGCTATTTAAAAATAAAAATCTTTTTCTTTCACAAGAGCTTGATTATCTAGTTAAATTTGAATATTGTTCTTTGGGCCACAAAGTCTTGCAAAGTTACAACTTGATGTTAAAGTTAGTGTATAGAATTGTCCTTACATTCTGAACTGTTGGTCATAAGCATGACACAAAGACTGAAAATTATACACTTTTAAAGCATCTTGTTTATGTCATTGTTGTTTTTAGTATTTGAAGGGAGAATGTGCCAGTAACTGCAGTCATCACTTTAAAACCTAATACTACATTGCATAGCTTACCATTTATTGTGGAAGTTAGAGTAATTTGCTTGGGTTTAAAGTGGCATTTTTTAAGACAATGGCTGTAACTAAGAACATTTGTTTATAGACAAGTTGCAAAATAACATGAATCTGTAACTTTACATCATGTAACTTTCAAGCTGTAAAGCAAACAAACCCCCTATATTCAAAGCTATGAAGTAAGAAACTGTAGATTTCTTTATTTGCTAATCAAGATCCCTTACATTGTTTGCTTTTATAGCAGAAGTGATCTAGATAGTGTAGCAATGCACAGCAAAGAACAAAAGTTTTTAATGGCAGCAGCAATAAAATTTTATAAAGTGGTAAAGCACCTTTTTTATCTTGTGTGATTCTTGATGATACTAATAAATTTATTAGTACTTCTCAGGAATTTGAGCTAACATTTTTAAAAGTGATAGTAGGTGCATGTTATGTGTTGTGTGTTTATATTACCACTTATAGTATTATAAGACAGAAATACTTATTCCTTTCATTCTTTATCTTTCAAGGCTGCTGAAACCACTCAGAGTGATACAAGTGTCTCATCAGGGGAAGCAAGCAAAAGAAGCATTCATTTTCTGCCTAATGAAACAAAACTAGATCCTCACCTAGAAAACAAAGACTCAAATACCAAAGAAAAAAGTGATCCAGCTGTGGATGAAGATGATGCAGAGGGAGATTCTTTCTTTGATGATCCTGTACCCAAACCAGAAAGAACTTATGGCTGGGAAGTAACAAGGACGTTCTACTTAATACCATTTTTATTTTGTGCTTGGTATGCTTGCAGACCTTTGAGAGCTAATTGTTGTTGGATTATTTGTACTTCTAAGTGCAAGTGTTTAGATCTCTTCTGTAACATTTTGTTTCCAAAATATGCATTTCTCTGATTCCGTTCTTTGAAATGCACAGTGTCCTCTGGGATCTCTTGGGTGTACCTTGAGTGGATAAACCTTTATCACTTTAAGGTGCATCTGTTATGCTATATAATGCTCCCACCCTATTTCTTTGATGGAATGAACATGTATGAGGCACAGACATCAGTGTTTCTTCTTGCAACAGTACTGCAGTGGTGATCTGTACTAAAGGAAGTGGGCAATGACAAGGATAGTGCTTTAAATATATGTATGGCTTTGTAAGGAGTACAAAAATCAGTGTAAACTGGCTCTGTAAATTGTAACAATAAGGAAAGTTTTCTCACAGCTGAGAGTTTCCTCTTCACATTGCAACACCTTTCTCATGCAGTTCTGTGTTTTCAGTGCAGTGTTCCTTCTGCCTATGCCAATTTTGCAGATGCATCTGAGGGGTATTTTTTGTTGGTCATCTATGGAGTCTTATGACTGAAAACCACCATTTGAAACAAGAACGATACAACAGCTTTGTTGTGGAATGGCTAAACCTATCTTTGTGTTATCATGTTGAGTTATCTTGAAGCTTAGTTTAGATATTGCTGTTGAGAAATGCTGCAGGATCATTTCATGGTGTTCTTTTGCTATGCTTGGTTTGCAAAAAGGTAATTTTGTTATGGGAACCTTGGCTATTCCTGCAAAATGGGTGCCCTGAAGAGAAAGGGAGCAAGCAGCTGCTAATGACAGAGAGATGATCCAAGCACTCCTTGTCTCTAGGTCTCTGTCTCATTGGTCAAAGTTTTGAGCTGTTTTAATGTGTGATGTTATATGTGATGTTTGTGTGATCTACGTATAATGAATGATTCAAATATTGTGCATTATTTATGGGAATGGAGTCACAGTAGCAAACAGTTCTAGTAATACTAAATGTGAAAATATTGGTCTCTTTTTAATTTGTGTTTCTTCATCCTTTACTTGCAAATAGTATATGAACTAGGTAGTAGCCAAAACTTTAATACATGATGATTATATCAGTCTTCCTATAACCAAGAGGTTTTCATTCTGTGAACTGACTGCTTATAGAATTAATAGCTTAATCAGATGTAATCTCTTTTAGTTGTAAAAAAAGCGGAAGTAAGTACTGATTTATACATGAATCTTTCTTCTTTTGGCTGCGTTTGCATGTGGGGATGATGAAAGGTCCCTTGATAATAATAGTGATGCTGATGAAGGTGCAGGAGATCTGTCTCTGAGAGAAGACAGACAGAAGTCTGCACGGGTGAAAAAGTGAGTTTCTTACTCAATGTCTTGCTTGACACTTGTGCTAGTAATCTGCCTACCATTTCTAAGGTTGCAGAAAGTATAGTCCTTTCTGCTGGCTTGTTTTTTGCTGTAATATTGCTGCTCTAGTTTTATGAAAATTTAATAATAGAAAAGAAAGTAACTATGCACATTTTGCAGCTCTGCAGAGTACTTACTTTTTGCTTTGTTTTAGGAAAACTGAAGCTAATAAAGCAGGAGGACTGACATCCCTTTCTGATGCACCACCTCTAAAAAGTGGGTTGAGCTCCCTGACTGGTGCACCTTTGCTAAAGGAGTCTGATAGTAAGTTTTCATATGTTTTTGTGTAGGAAATATTTCCTATAATGTAATGAATGATCTACACCTTCAGATGGAAATGTGGTAAAGCACGTGGCCCCCATCTGGTGGTAATGTGCTTTACAGTAGTGTTTTCTTCACCAAGTGATTGCAGACTGGTTTTGATATGTTATGCTACCAGTGGGGTATTTTATGTTTTGGAGCATGAAATACTGATCTACATTCTTTTTTTTTCCCTGTACATATAAAGCAGATTTTAGGAGTATAAAATCCTGCTGCTCAGTTTTTAACTGAATTTAAATTACTCTTTTGTATGGTTATGTTTCATTATTTGCACCAGTTCTTTATGGGTATCTGCTCTCACTTTATAAAACCTGATACCAAATACTGGGAACCTTATCCTGTTTACTACTCACGTTTTTAAATGTTATTAGAGTTCAGACCTGAAAATGTAATATAATCTTGCCATACTATACTATAAAAGTATATAAGGTTGATATAAAAGAACAGTTGTTATAAATGGTTGATGGGTATGTTTAAGTGGGATCTTATTAGAGACTCACAAGTCAAATTTATGATATAAATGCTTTTGTTTACAGATGTGAATAAAAACTCTGTTCTGAAAGACCTGCGGTTGGTGAATACAAAACTGGGATCACTAGAATTAGGCAAGTAATTGCTAAACACAAGGAAGCTCTGATATTTAGCTATAAATTCTGGCCCAGCTTCTTAGACGAATCTGAGAAACTGAAATACACATATTAAACTAAAATCTTCAGCTTTTTCTTATGTCTTTCAACTTAATACCATTGTGAACCTTACTGGAGTTAAGAGCAGGATGTGATCTAAAGGAATACAGAAAAGCGAAAAGTGGATTAGTAGTGGATTAGTATTTTACACATGCAGCAAAAATTTGATTCATTCCTTGCATACATTTGCTAATACCAAGGGATAAATTTTGTTGTCTGTGTTTCTATGAAAAGAGGACATTTATATTTGTAGAAAAGATAGCCTGATAAGTCTTACTGGTTTTCAGTGGCATTTTTATTTGCCCTCCACACTTTTGAAAGTTGCCTTGTAAGCTTTAGGAGCAGTATGAAGAAGATATGATAGAAGACTCAGCCTTCTATCAAAATAGAGCTCCTAAGTATTTAAGTTTTCTATTCAGCAATGTAGTCAGCATCTTGAAAATGTGTTCACTTTTGAAGCAGTTTGTGTTAACAATATTGAGATTAATTAATGACAGACATAACTCATTTCTCTAATGTGCACATGTAATTTAATCTACTCCCACTTTTGCTGGTCATTAAACCATGTATTTTGGGACCAGAATTGATTGGGGGTTTTTCGGTTTCCTGTAGAGAAAACTTGTTTGATTAATAGCTTTTAAAACTTCTCTAGGAAATGGAGATGATGATGAATATGCTGATGACTTCAACAGGTAAGAGAAGGATGATACCTCAGTAGCATAGTAGTTTAAGCTTACCCACTAGTACATTTGAATTGTTAGTAGTATTTGATGCAGTCACTATCACCAGAGTCTGTCAGTATTCTTGAACTCCTTTAAAACTTCAGTTTGCTATTTTAATAGATTTAGTTACAAGTTAATAAAACCCCAACCCAAACAAAACCAGATCCCTTTCGTACAGAGAGGGTAATGAGTTCCTTAAAAACCTAATGCTACCTTTAAGATGATGAGTCGGTGTGGTTTTTTTATGGAAGGTTTTTTCCTGAACCATGCATTTAACTGTGTTTTAACACTTTAATTAATGCTATTAGTCCATGACTATGTTGTATGCTGAAATATTCAGCTGGAAAACAAAGCATCATGACTAGTCAATAATAAAAATTTAACCACCTCATCCTTATGATGTGAAGGTATTGGCATTGTAAACTGCAGGATCAAGGCCTAAGTATCAGTTCATCTAGGTGGAAATGGGGTTTTAAGTAACTTCACATTTAACTTGCTAGGGAGTGAAATCCCAATCATATGTCAGGTATGAAGTGAATGCCATACCTGGATGTTGGAAAGAAAGTCTTATTTCTATGTTTATGGTTTTCTTTTTCTTTAGTACTAGTCATCGCTCAGAAAAGAGTGATATCAGCATTGGTGAAGAAATAGATGAAATTTCTGTGGGAACAGAAGAGTCAAATGCCAGTGATAAAGTATGATTATTTTAAAATTGTTGTTCTTGATATTCTTCTGATCTTGTCTTGACTTTGTTTTGAACTTTCTATGAAGTAATGTGTCAGTATCCTAAGTTCCTAGGTTGCATGTTAAGGTTTTACTATTGGTTATGATATGTATTTTTGCACCTAGTGTTTCTGTCAAGTTAGATACTATGCTGATTAAAAAAACCCAATGAAACAAAACCCCCATAACAGTAGTTCAGTAGCACAATTCACTGTCCCCTTCTAGGCATGTGAAATGTATTTGAGGCTGGTTTGATAGCCAGCATACAAAGGTCCTACTCCAGTATTTCAAGATCTGTCTGAGCACCTCCTAAAGGATTATGTAATCTCATTGGAAGAGTTTGAGGCCAAAAGGATGGGTTGCTTTATGAAGGACTACAGGACTTACTGTTTCTGTGATTTCTGAGTTTGCAATTTCATTTATTTTCTAGCTTGAAAGCATCACGCAAGACCTTACCATTTCTCAGTTAAGTGACGTTGCAGATTATCTAGAAGATGTGGCATAGAATTGGACAGCAAAAATCTTTCATTGTGCTGGACTAGAAGACTGCTGTGGGCTGTTAATTTCAGACAATCACGTTTTGCTGGAATGTCCACTCCCTATTTGTGCCTTGTGTTTCAAAAAGACTGTAGGAGGAGAAGGCTTTTAAATATTATTAACAAGAACTCAACGAAATAGTGTGTTCCCACTTGAGTCTGAGATCAGAATTACTTTCTTCATGTGGTTCAGCCAAACCTTTTACAGCAGGAGAGGTCCATTGCAGGCAGTGGGCATAATAAGAACCAATTGATATAAGAGAGCATCAAGAAAGAGGCATGTGGCTTTATAGTGAACTTGCACTGTTATTTTAACAGTCTGGTTGGTTTTTTTTAAAGATAACCAAAGCAAGGACCTTCAAAGACAGTGGTTCAACTCATGTATTTTAACACAATGTTGTCAAATCAGCATGTAGTACATATTCATGGTAACTCTAGCCACAGTACCTAACTTCTCTAGACTTACTTGAAACTGCTGTTTTACAGACTGTTCTGAAAGTCAGGCTTTATCTTTTTTAAAGGCATATCAAATTGAGAGTATCTAAACTCTTTAATCTAAATTTAGCTATACTTAGGAGCTAAATTTAGCACTAGTCTTAACTCGGAATATTCTTGTTTAAATTGGTTTGTCACACCATTGGTGTTAAGACCTAAGCTGTTTTCATATATCATAATTTCATCACTGTTATCTGTTGTTAAATCATGAGAAGTAATTTTATAAGGATTCACAAATCATTAACTAAATCTTATTGGGGTTTTATTAAGGTTTTAGCAGTGTGCTAATGGTTTCTGGAGCTTTTGTTATTGAGGGCTCTCCATGTGCTGTAGGCTCACTGTCATTCTTGAAAATCCTTGTTATTTCAAAATGAGCGCCAAAAACTGAAACCACTAACCGTTTGCTTTTCAGATTCTGACTGCTGTACAGATTAAATGCAAATCTTTACAAATACCATACCTAAGACATTATGGGTACTAAGTTCTAGCCAAGAGCAAATTCTTGTGTTTTCATTATACTCTTGCAAAACAGGGTCAGTAACGGAAACAGTGACAGTTCTTTAACGATACTATTGTACGTGGCGCTGCTATCATATATAGGTCATGGACATTTGTAATACTGAAACAAGACTTCAAAATGTGCACTTTCTGAACATTGTGAACACATTTGGAAAACAGACATGCAAGGGAATATAAATAATTTAACTTTGTTCTCTTTTTTTAGGCTTTGTAATATTTTTTTTCAGGGACACTGTTGGCCTGTTGTCAGTGGTTGCCACAGTGGAAGTAGCATGCTAAACTAAAGCCATTGGTTAAGCATATAGAGCTGCTACTAGCACTGGATGCTGACTTAGTCTTTTTTTTGCACTGGGCCAGCAGGCCTGGAGCAGTGCTGGGAAGTTAGGCTTGTACATTACATAAATGATTTGAGAGGAGTCATAAAAAGTGTGCCTTTTATTTATGTGCACCCTAAAACAGCCAGCAAAAAAAAAAAAAGCATCAGAATATTTTGTCATGGTGTTAACTTTTAATTTTGTGCCATATTGTAGCAGCACAGAGGAGAATTTTTTCACCCAGAAAGTCAATGTGCCATAGACTTCAAATACCAACAATGTTGTAACATATGATACTTCCTGTGTAAAAAATTCCTTTAAGTATGGGGGTACCTGTGTCTCAGGATACTGTATATGAAAATACTCATTTGGGATTTTTTCTTATTTTTTTTTCTTCTTTTTTTTGTTCTTTTTTTCCCCCCTTTTGAATAAGAGCAACAGCATGTCTGAAGGAAATAAAATTACACATGAACACCTGGGAATAATTGTTTTCTGGCATTTGTTTTGATGGTGTAAGGAATAATGCAGAGGCAGTGTTTGGTTTTTCACATGTCTTGAGAAAACATGATGTTCCATTACCTATTAGCTGTAGGATATGTGACAATTTATTATACCAAAAGAAATTAAAAGTTTATTAAATTATTTCTAATTGCATTTGAAGATGTGGCCTTTCAGTAAATAATGAGATATTTTATGTGTTAACATGACTTCTGTTAACAGCCAAGTGTTGTTCTCTTACCTTGGGGGTTAATTGAAGACCTTGTACTCTGGCTCTAATGAAAAGAAATGCTAAAAACTGGTAAGTCTCCTTGCTGTTCCTCCTGTGGGCTTTTACTGAATTGTGTATAATAATTCAAATTGTAAAATAAAGCTGTTGTGCTGGCTAAATTGTGTTTTTGAGACTTCTTGAACCAGAAATCTTCACATTTGGATTAATTCAGAAAACCCTGTGAGGTTTGGGGTGTTTTCATGAAAAATGGGGTTTTTTCAGAGTTACTCCAGTCTGCAATTTAAAATTCTTTTAAGCCCAGAGGATCTTACCATTCCTGATGATGAATCCTAAAGTCTGATTAACACTTGACTGAATTAGGTTACTGGGTATCAGCCCAAGTTATTAGATGGTTTGTGACTCAACAAGGGGAAAAAAGTAACAATCTTGATGAGCAAAGTTTTATCTTGTTTAACATTGTTCAAGGTATTTAAACATGACTGACTAGTTCAGGTCTCACGAATGCTTGTGTCACTGGAAGTTTCAAACCATATTGTTTAGTATTTCACATTAGGCTTCTCTCTGAATGACCTAATGCAGTTGAGTACCCCACCTCAGGTATCTGTTAGAATTAACAACTAGAGCTCTGTCATAAAAGATGGGTACATTTCTGTGAGCAGAGAAGCAAATGTCTGAGAGAGGCACTGACAACTGCTCTGTGCAGTTCTGTACCAGCTAGGGCTGGTTAGAAAAATGCATTTTTCTTAAGCACTCTAATTTGTTGAACAAATCCTATGATTTTTCCAGAAGTAAAAATATAAGGACTAGACTTGGTGATTATGTGATGATGGTAAAGATGAGTTTTACTACTTTGTTTCATTTTAGTGTAGTAATTTTCACTGATGAAATACTCTCTACAAAGTCCAGTCTTACCTGCTGGAAAAAAAATGCATCCGTGGATAGTTCAGTTGTAGATAAGAGTTAACAAACTTCTGAGTTTAGTATCGTGTAGGCATCAGGAATTAAGTCTTGGCAAGATGACTGCAGAACTTCATGGTCAGTTTGAGTTACTGGAGCACTAAAAATTTCTTGCTGCTGTGATTTTCAGCTGTCCTTACCTGTACAATGTGTTACTTCTTTGGAATATGTCCACAATGTCTTAATCACAATTCAGAACACCTTGTGTAGCTTTTTTCAAATATTTTAGTATTTTTAAGAGGGCAAAATATGTCACTTGCTGTTCAAAAAAGTGTTACATACTATTCTCTTCCCAGGCCTCACAATGAATTGCCTTATTGAGCTATGCCCATTGTACTTTTCAGGGGAGATGGTCAATAAATGAATAGTACAGAAAGAGGATGGACCGTTACTCTTTTTTACTAGTCCAGTCTTCAAGCTTTGTCTTGGTGCAGTAGTTGAGGAACAGTAGAGAGATCATGAGAAACTTGCGTGTATAATTGAAAGGGTATCTTGGGGAGCACTTGCTTTGTTCAATGAAGTGAATGTTTGCTTTTAGTATTGAGGGTTGGTTTGTTTTTTTTTTGCCTAAGTGTGTCACTTGACACAGGGGAACAGAACACTTTCTAAGCTGCTCAAAATGGGTTTTTTAAGCTTTGTAAGTGCAGCAGAGGAGGAAATAATGCAGACCTAAAGTTTATGAACTGAATAAACCACATCTGGGAACAAAAAGTAGTGCGAGGAGTTGCACATTGAGCAGGAAATCTAACAGGGATGTTCTGGCCAGCACGTGGTGCAGGAGGAAGCAGCCTGTCACGGGACAGTCAGCATATGCTATATAGGGTGGGAGGAAGAACTGACAGACTGCTGCTGAGTATGGGAGAGCAGAGTAGGCTTGTGTCCATCTTCTCTCATAATACCTAAGGACCACAGTGACCAGCTTGTACAAACAAGAAGGAGTTAGTGGAAGAAGTTGAACAGTAAGTCCATACACATACTGCTTGAGACCAGTAGGAGGGGGTAGTCATGATGGTGACAACCCAAAGGACACAGTCCTTTGCACTAGCCAAAGCAACTACAGCAGCATACTGGAGACTCCAGGCCAGACACAACCCTGGGGAGAGTGTGGCTGCAGTGGGTGCTTGGAGCTTCTCAGAGGTTGAGGGTGACCATGGACTCACCTGCACTGGTCAGGACACTGAGCTGCCAGGTGAAGCAGGCTGGATGGCATCAGGAGTGTCAACAGGAAAGCAAAGGTACTTTGTGGGCATGATAAAAGTAAGAAGCCTAATCCCCCACTGCATGAAAGGGAAGGGAAAAGACAGAGGCAATGCTTAACCAGAGAAGGACTGTGATTTTCTTGCACAAAAAAATAAGGAAGCTTTTTCTCCAGCTGCGTCTACTGAGACAAATGTAGGGCCCTGACAGCCAGAGAGGGTTTGAGTTTCGTTGAAAGATGCATCTAGTCATGTTGTCAAAGCCAGTGAGGCTGAAGGAAGGTGACAGGTAGTATTCAGGTACTTCCTTCCTCAGAGGGATGAAGGCACCCACCCTGCCCATCAGACCTGTTTTTAGCTTGCCTAAGCCCATCTCTAGTATGTCGCTGGTGTCATGGGCAGGACTTCGGGGGTTTTTATGTCTATGGTACCCTCTTCGAGGAATGACTTCTACTAGGAAGAAACAGGGTGCACCTGATGAAGATAATTATCTCTGCTGACAGGGTTGCTAACTGTGAAGGGTTTAAACTAGGTTTGTTTCTTGTGTAGAGCAAAGCCTGCAGGTATGTGGGAGCAAACACAGAAAGAGTCTGAGGGATACCCCTCGCAGCAAGAAATCAGGGTGACTGGGATAATTTGAAGTTCTTTTCCACAAACAAATGTACAGCAAGAAACAAGAGAAAGATGAAGTCTGTGCAGCCACAGACCTCTGACATCACTGGGATGACAGAAATATGGTGGGATACTCACACAGCAGGAGTGCTACAATGGATGGTGACAAGCTTAGCAAGCAGGCAGGGAGGAGGTCCACAGTGGAGTAGTCTGAATGTGCAGAGCATAAATGGAATAGAAAAAACCCTGACAACAGGTTGTCAAGGTTAAGAGGGAGGCCAAAAAAGGGGCTATTGTGGTAGACACCTGCAACAGAGCACTTGACCTAGAAAAGCAAGAGAATGAAGCCTTACTATTTGAAGAAGTATCCTGACTGGATGCTATGGTTTTCATGGGGATTTTTAACCACCTCCCATTTGTAGGAAGAGCAACATGACAGAACACAAACAAGCCAGGAGTGTCAAGGACCATGTTTTACTTGGGAGCTGGAGAGGGTGGGGAGGGATACTCTATATCTACTACCTATGGATAAGGAAGAAGCACTCAGATGCAGTAGTTAATGGAAACCTTGGCTACAGTGACCATGACTTGGTGGAGATAAAAATGTCCTGAGAGCAGAGAGAAAGACAAGCAGCAGAGTAATAATCTTGGACTTCAGGGAAGCAAACCTTATCTGGTTCAGGGTTCTGTTTGACAGGAGCCCATGGGAGTCTGCCCTGAGAATCTCAGGTACACGTACAGGTCACAGGCTGGTTGCCTTTCAAAAGAATTCCTTCCACTACGCAAAACAATGCGTAGGCATTGCAGGAGAACACTCTGGCTGACTGAGAAACTCCTGGCTGAGCTCTAACGCAAAAAATTGTATGGAAAGTGGAAATGAGGATGTGCTACAAGGGATGACTATGGAACTGCACTGGCATACAGGAATGGTACAAAGGACATCAAAGCTTGTCTGGAGCTGAAGCTAGCAAGGGATGCGAAAGCAGCAAGAAGGGTTTCTGCAGGTGTGGCACCAGTAAGGGGAATATGAAAAAAAAAGACATGAGCCTGCTGCTGAATGGCGTAAGTGCCTAGTAATACAGGTAAAGAAATAAACACTGAGGTACTGTTTCTTTTTCACCTCTCTCTTTGCTGGCAAGGTCTGTTCTTAGGCTTCTTTGAAAGGTCATGGTGATCAAGGGACATTCGTGATGACTGAAAAAGGAAAATGTTATGTCTAGCGTTTAAAAAGGTGAGAAAAGAGGATCCAGCATGCTGCAGACCAGGTGGTCTCACCTCAGTCCCTGGGAAATTTGATGCAGGTCCTCCTGACAGCCATTTCTAATTATGGGAGAGATAATAAGGTGATGAGAACAACCAGCAAAGGTTGAAGGCAAATTGTGACTGACCAATGTGATCACCTTCTATCATGGCTCTGAACACAACAGTGGAAGTAATTTTCTTTGGCTTTAGCCAGTCTCCCAGAGCAACTATGTATACAAATTGTGGACAGATAGGCTGGATAAAAGCAGCTTCACAGAAAAGGCCCAGCGGCAGCTGTGAAGCGTGAAAGCCTGGAAGCAGGAGTCAGTGTGCAGGCTGAGGGAAGTGGTTATTTCCCCTCTATCCCCTTGCTTGTGAGACCATACTCAGAGTATTGCCTTCAGCTTGGGGTCCCCTGGTGCAAGAGATGCCAACAAAATAGAGTCCAGTGGAGGGGCTAGAGAATGGTGATGGGGCTGGAGCTTGTGATCCATCAAGAGCTGGAACTGTTCTGCTTGTAGAAGAAAAGGTAAAGTTGGGTGGTTTAGCTGTAGACTTCCATGCTTATAGAGGGCTGTATGGAAAACAGACCTGGACTCCTCCTAGAGGTGCACAGTGAAAAGGCAACAGTCAGATTGCATAGAGCGAAATTCCAGCTGCACACGTGAAATTAAATATAAATAAAAAATCACCATGAAAAAAATTCTGAAAAAAAATTTTAAACAAATCACCAGGCCCTAGAGCAGGTTGTGAATTCTCCATCACTGGAAAGTTTTAAAATTCAAATGGACAGACCCAAAGCCACCTGATCTAGTTTTGAAGTTTGGTCTGCTTTGACCAGGAGTCTGGACCTCCAGAGAACCTTTTCAACCTAATTTGTTCCATGATTCTACCAAAACAGACCTTTATATTGAAGACTAGTTATTATGGGGATAGATAGACCCTATCTGGCTGCCTCTGTGCTTGCAAACTACCCTGTTTGCATGTTGAAATAGTTTTGGTACAGTTTATCAATGCAGGTGTTTATGTACAGACAAACTGTCCCATGGATACAAGCCAGCATTTGCAAATACAGTAATTTAACATTCACTCTACTGTAAGGTTTTAAATCTTATGTCCTTGAAGAAATCTCTTAGAAAATGTAGGCTTAGAGCATAATTGAAGAGTGCACTGTGTAACTGCAGCTAGTCCTTAAACTTGGTGTATCTAAGTTTAAAAACAATCCATAAGGTTTCTACAAGTTGTTTTGCAGTTTCTTAACAGCTTTAAGTGTTTTGTTTCAATTGCTCTGTGCTGTGGGGAAACCGCAGCAGATGCAAGGGAGTAAAATCAGGTCATTTGCACAGTTACCCTGTAAAAGTATCACATGCACTTTCATAGCAAGAAACTTCTTCAGCTTTTTTTCTCTGAAATGGAAAAGCTTCCACCATGTGCTCACAAGATGGTCTGTCTCAGCTGACAGGTGTTCTTCAGGGCATGCTGCAAGGGGTGTTATTGGGAAAAGGCGAGTGTGTGGCAGAGCAGTGATTCCAGTTACATTTTTGGCTTAGGTGATTGTGTCAGAATCGCTTTTAAACTGATGTTCCCTTTATGTTTCAGGCATATAAATCTGGTGGTTTCTATTAGCTTATGTGATGAAAAGCTCAGCTCCACAGTTCGAAAGGAGGACAGAGGAGCAAGGTGACTTGTGCAGATCCAACTGTGACTGCTGGGGACTGCTCTGATCCAGCAGTTCCCTTCCTGAGGTGTGGGGCTGTGAGGCTCAGCACTCCGCAGCCACCCAGACTGGCAAGCCCCTCAGAATGTAACCTGCAGTAGCACCAAGCCTCTGGCTTGGGGAATGCAGCCCACCCAGGAGCTGAAACATGACTGGAAAATGCTGTGCTAGGGAAGGGGATGGTGCAGTCCATCTACTTTTTTTGTAGGCGAATGTTGGGTTATGGGATTAAGGCTCAACTCTTTAGAGTGCAGAGGAGCAAAGGCAAGGGGAAGCCTGATACTGAACAGGAGCTCCCAAAGCTGAAGCCCCCTTCCCTGTGTCTTCCCTGGACCATCCCAGGAGAGGCACCAGCGCACAGGTCTCCAGGCAAGATCCTGGGTCACCTCATGGGCTGAGTGACCTATATGGGCATGGGCTGATGGTGGAATATTGGAGAAGACCATTTGGGGTGTGCATAAGTCCTGTTCTGGGATATTTAGAGGAGAGATCATGGTAGTTTGGGGGAATAAGAGTGGGCAAAGAGCGAGAAATGGGATTGGTTGTGTGCAAACAGTCTGCTGTTAGCAGTTTGTCTGGTCATACCTGTCCCTGACCAGTGCTCTCTGTTCTCCCTGATAACTCTTTCCAATCCTTTCTGACATGAATAAAGATGTTTAAAACAGTCTAAATAGTTCTATCTTGGGGATGAATTAGGGATGCATTTAGGCAAAATCTTGAAGCATACATTTCCTTGAAATCAATGTGATATTTGCCTACCTAAGAAATGTTTGACAGAGACTGTTTTGCAATATTATTCTGGCAACCTTTGCAGAAAAGGCACCTTTATGGTGTAAAGTGGCTGACATGTTGACTGATGTTTTCTTCATCTTCTTTGAACTGCTGTGCTTTGTTCATTAAAAGGAAACAGATAAAATTGCATGATAAGTAGTTCAAAACGTTCCACGCAAACCAAGATGGAATTACAAAATCTAAGTTCTGGTTTTCAGAGACTAAAGCAATCTTGGAGATTAGAATTATGTACACTTAAACTTCATAGTTTAACACACATTCATGGGAGAAATGTGAAATTGAAAACAATTCTTTAAGTAATCAGCTGTAGATTTAAGTAACAGAATCTGCCATTTAAAAAGTGACATATGCACATATACACCAGCTATGGTTAACTGTAGCAATGCAAAACTGGTGTTCCTCAGTTATATTCACTCAGTAGACTAAGTTAATTAGGGCCTAAGTTAAATTTTTAATTTGGCATGTGAACAGAAACTGTTAAAGCCTGAATTTTGAGTAGATTTTGGCACTGCAGGTCCATTTAAGATGGGTTCACAGATGCAGGGAAGTGCTGACATTAGAAATCTCATGTTCTCAGAGATAACTAAGACAAATTCTCATGATCTTCTTCCATGCAAGATAAACTGAAACTAATGAATACTTTCTGTCCCACTAGTTTCTGGTTTCAGCAAATGTGTGCTAACTTGATGGTACTTAATTTGAAGGAGTTGAAAGTACCAGTCAAAGAAATTAATGCATTAGGGCCATAGGTCTCAGCTAGCCTGAGGAGCTAGAGTAGGATACACTAGTATGATCTTAGTGCATAGTAGCTCTTCTGCACTGATTACTTGCATGCATGCTGTTTTGCATTAAATATCAAAATGCTTAAGTTAAACTGTGGAAAAATGCAAAGGAGCCCAGAAAGGTACTAAAATTTGTGCAGAAATCAGAGCCAAGTATCACTTTGAAAGAACCCAGACTAATCCAGTTTATTCAAAGAAAATTAAATCAAGCACATGCACACAGTTTCAATTCATATTGAAACTAGCCCAGAGAACAGTGAAGCTGAGAAGGCAATGGGTGGTAGCAGAGAGCAAGTTATGTAAAACTGTCTGAAACACGGGTGCTGGCAGCCAGCACGAGAGCCTTGGCTTGATGTAGGAAATTCTCTGTGCATTGATGAGGGGATGACTGAAGCTGTGCTCCTTTCCCTGGGGCTTGTGGCTGTGCTCTTGAAAGTGAAGCAGATACCAGCTTGGGCAGTTTAGAGTAGAGAAAAGCAGATACAAGGATTAATTTCAGTTAAAAAATTAAAAAAACTGGAGAAATAACAGCATCATATTAGAGATTAACTAAGATTTTGAAGCAGAATGTCAGAATCCCAGTTGTAAACAAAAAGTTACAAGGTGGACTTTAGTTTTGACTGTGGCCTGGTGTTGTAGGGAATGTGATAGAAAATCTGTTTGTTAGGAGAAGATGAAGAGATGCATGCCTGTAGCAGCTCATACAGACTATATGATCTCACAGCTCTAGCCCACTGTTTTATGTGCAACAGAAATAACTTGTAACCCTACACTTCCAGCAGTGCACAAAGCTTATTTGCAGTACGAACCATGCAAAGAGCCTGTGAAACACATGATTTTTAAGGACAACTTCATAAATGTCTGACACTCCCCTCTCCCTTGTTAATGGTGGGAGCAGAACCCCAGAGGTCATCTTCCTGCACCTCAGCATGTTCATCACCACATCCAGCAACAGCCCACCCCACTCAACCTCGGGCTCTGGCTATGCTGAGCAGCTCAGGTTTGGTTATGATTCTCAAAGAGGTGCCTGAGGGAGAAGGCTGTTTGCCACTTTCTATGTCTTCATTTGTCCCTTTACTGAAGAGCAGAACTGAAGGTCCAGCTCAGGCTTAGGACCATGTGGAAGCTAGAAAGCATACGGGTTAGAGAGCCATGTGTCTCATTCAACACTCAGTCTGTACCCAGCATTGGCCATTCCCACTCCTTCAGGCTTTGCACCAAAGGATTGAATCTCTGCAGTTCACCTACAAACCTGAAAGGAAAATGGGGTCACAAATATAGGCCAATTACCCATGCATCACGAAACAGGAAATCTTGCAGAACAGGCTTTTGCTTTTTTGTTTGCTCATCTCCCAATGTAGTTTGTTCTTCTGGCCTTCAAATTTTAAAAAAAGAAAAAGGATGCATCCTGACTCATGCTGTTGTATAACAATTCTCTTAATGGTCACCAAGGCTCTGTTGGTCATGGGAAGTAAACTGAACACTGTCCAGTTGGATGGTCTTTTACAATAAATAACATCTAGATATTTTCTTGTCACTACTGTGCTTTTGCTCAGGTTGACTGTTTTTATTTTCTGTACAGTAGAGCCAAATTCTGCTAATGAATCATTTTATAACTACTTGATCCTCTCTTTCCTGCCTTGAGGGGCTGGGCAAGGGAATAGAAACAAACTTTCAACAGGCGGGAACATAAAAGAGATCATTCAGATCAAGCAAGTATAATCAGTTGGAGCTTGTTTTCTTCTTCTTTGTTTCCAACAGTATAGGAGTCCAGAGGTTGAGTGATGACAAACTAACTGTGTAGCTGAAGACAGACTCCTTTCTTGGTACACCTGCCCCTTTCCTCCCCTGGCTTTTGTTCTTAACCCAAGGATTTAATCTAAAACCACAGTAGTCTGTTATTTGATACCAGCCTGGGGCACACAGGTGTTTGGAATTATCATTAGTGAACTGTGGTCTATATTTTAACAAATATGATATTTCATGGAATTTAAATCTCCAGCTCAAAGCTGGAGTGTGGAAAAATCTCTTGTGGTGAAAAATTTGAAAATGCTTTGGGGAAAACAGAAATTTTGCCATTTGAGGTATTGCCAACCAGTGGAAGGTGCTGAGAGGACAGTCCCCACTCAGCATTCTGTCTGGGAAGGGGCAGTGCCTTTGCTGTGCACAAGGTTGCACCAGTGGGTGGAATTTAAAAGTGTGATACTAAACCTACTGAAGTGAGCAAGTACAGGGACACTGATGTCTCTTATGGCCTTTTCTTAAGCTCTACATGCACATGTACATAAAACTACACAAACACAAATTTGCATCTGGCCTCAGACACAGAAAGGAGGAGGATGAAGGACAGTGGAGTATCCCCTGTTGTTTATTTGGAGGCAGAACAGTCTGTGATGAGGCACTGTGGGACCAGCATTGAAGTCCTGGTGGAGCATAGTGAGGCACACTTGGGCTATGTGGTGCAGAGATTTCCCCACTCTCTGATTTTTACAGTGGTGTTAGCAAGAGTTTGGGTTATTCTTGCTTCCCATTAATCTGATGGCTTGTGAAAAGGTAAAAACCTCTGATCTCAGAAGAGTCCTCTGCACTCATTAGTACTGAGGCCTGTCAGACTAAGAATTCAGCCACTCTAAGCACAGCATAGTTAGCCACAAGATGATGGCTTTAAAAGCCCCTTGACTGATAGTTTCAAGTGCCTTCCCTTTGTATATATGGTCTGTTTCCTCTTTGGTTTTCTTTCTGACATTCCTCTTCTCTTTTGTTGCCTTTATTCCCATATCTTCTACTGATTCCCTCTCCCCTCGATGTTATCCGTGAATTGCCCTTGCTCATCCCATCCCATTTCTCAGCTCCCAGTGGCACTGGGTTTCTGCAGTGTGACATTGTGAACCTGACTGACACAGCTGTGCTCCCACCAGCCACCTTGCCTACAGCAGCAAGGAGAAATTACTTTTGTCTGAACATGGTCCAGGAAAAGGTCATGTTGGCACCCCTGTGGCACCAACCTGCATCTCCCAAGGCATGTTCACAGGTGTGCTAGAGTCTTCACAGGTCCCTCTGGCTAAGCTGCTTAATGTTTCTGTGTGCCACATCCTCAACAGTAAAATTGGGCGAATGGACCTGCTGCAAGATGGCAGTTTGTCAGACCCTACAGATCATGAAGTTAATTACATCTCCAAGCACTGCAAGTGCCTGGGTAAATATCCTCTCATGCTGGTCCAGTCACTCTCTTCCTCTCTGACCTGGGACAATGGCCTGTCATTTCTACTCAACTGTCTGCTGACTGTGAGATGGTTTGCAGGTGACCCACTGTTTCAGTCTGGGATGGGTCTGAGGAGATAGCAATGCTATTGGTCAGAAGGAAACAAAATCCACCCTGTGTTGATCTGAGCCTTTAGAGCAAGTCGGAGTGGAGAAACAGAAAGATAACAGGTTCTCTGAAGGGATTAAAGATAGTACAATATACTTTTGTATGTGGATGGGAGGCCTCACTAACGTATCTACTGGTCTTCTATGGACCTGGAAGAAAACTCTTCAATTGCCTTCAAATCAAGCAGATTTGTTTTACCCTTAAGCACCCTATGTAGTTGCTGAAGAGTTCAGCAATGCAGGTCTGCATTTTTGGAGGTACATGTCTGTACACATTATGTAGTAGGAAGAGATGGTGGAACAAGGCAGACTGAGAGATTAAACCTTCAGATTAAACCTTCAGGAGGGACTGTGAGGCAGAATTGGGCACTCCAGAGACATGTTTAAATGTCATGGTGCAGAGTCAGTGCTTCAAACTCTAATCTGAAGTTCAAAGCATTTGAGTGGGATAGGGACGGAAGAGATCCACGTTGAGAGAGCAGGCTGGCAACTATCCCAGGAAGAAGCTGCTGTCAACAGCAGCTTCAAAGCCTAATGTGAGTTGGATGCTAAGGTACTCTAACACAGACTGAAAATCACCCTAGGCCTTGCAGTACAGAAGAAAGATGAAGAAGATGAAAGACATTTAAAGTAGGATGCTGCCACCTCAGATATAACAAGATAAAGTTGTAGGCAGTGATCAGTCTCCGCATTTAAGACTATAAAAAGAAACAAGTCTGATTCTAGTATTTTCCCATTATTAGAATAATATGATTTCAGTTTCATCAAAAATTGTCTTAAGCCCTCTGCAAAACAATGCACACTTAGTACATGGCTTGCAGCCAATTGAACTTTCTCATTCTTTCTTCTTTATTCAAATAGCAGCTTTTTATTTAACTTATAATCAAAGGGGAACGTTTAAGAAGAAAACCTTGTGCTGCCCTCAGTGAGGGGGCATCTTCCTCAGTAGGAGCTCAAAATAATTTTTAACCACAAATCTCCTGTGGCTTCTAAAAATCTTTCAGTCTAATGATCTGTCTTGCATTTTACAGTCTGTGCTGCACTCAGCTGTGATGGCAAATGAAAATTAGTGGAAACAAAGTTACAACAGAGTCATAAAAAAGCCTTCAGGAAGAACTGCAAACATACTGGCTCTTCTCACACACCTTTTGTCACAGGCTGGACAAGCCTCCTATACACCCTCCACTGCTCTTAAACAGGCAGGATCTACATTATGTGTTTGAGAACTTCTCTTCAGCTTCTAGCATGGCCTTGCTCTCACCGTCATAGGATGGCACATCCGAGCAGAGGGAAAGGTTCTGAAGTGTTTACCTGAGTACTGAAACTTCACAGCCAGTTCAGATGATGAGGAACCCACAAGGAGATAAATTACTATTGCAATGCCATACTGTAACCAGATTTTATGTTTTGAGTCATTAATCCTGCTATTGGTTCCACTTCTGTAGAGCCAGGGGAACTTCAGAATTCTGAGGTGTAGCTCAGAGTTGCCAGGGGGTAGCATCTGAGCAACAGAGGGCACGAATCTAGTAATTACAGTGTAGCTCCTTTCATACTAATCCTTCAGTAATACTATTAAGTGATGCATCAAAGTGCAAACTCTTTTATCGTATTTGTTTGGATTAAATTTTTTAAGAGACCACGCATTACCACTTGGGGTAGGAGTCCTTTCCTTTATGCAGCACTTCTGAGGCATGGTGTTCATCCCATAAAATCACAGGGGAAAATGCAGCAAAAAACCTGTATTAGTGGAAGGTGTTTGCCTGTTTTAACCCTTCCAAAGTGTCAACAGCAAGGATTTTTTGACAAGGATACAAGACAGCTTAAAGCCATAGGTGTGATTCAGGCTGATTGTATGTGTCTAGCAGCATCTGAAGGAGAACAAACACCTCTGGTCCTGCTGTCTGCATTTGCTGTGGGAAGTGGCATGACATCTTCCTCTTTTTCGGACATGAAGGCTGAGACCCTGATGACAATGAAGCAGGTTTTCCCTCCATCCTCACAAAATACAGTAAGTAAAGCTTGTGTCATGTAACACCCGTATAAGTCAAAATGGTAAAAGCAAAACAACAGCCCTGGCCAGACCCTGGATGACGGTAGTTCACTGTGTGAACTTGGACATGAGAAACACATCCTCTTGTGGAGCTAGGTGATGAAGTCCTCAGAGGCCTGGCCTGATAGTGAATGCCAGTCTTGATATCAATGTAACAAAATCCTCTTTCTGTTGGACAGGCTGAAGGTTGTTCCTGAAGGATGGGCTGCTTTGTGTGCCAGCTGCAGCAGGGTAACCCAGGTATTACTGGCACACACATGGTATGCATTGTGTGTGCATGTGTATACAGTGGCATACATTGTGTCCTGCCAGGAAAACATCATTTTCCCTCCAGAACCAGGACAGGGTGAGGCTTAGGGGATCCTTTCCAGACGTCACATATCACTGTGGGTTAGTGTGGACAAACATCCCTTGTGTGGGTGAGGCCTTCCCTCATGTTTGCAGATAGGAGTGACAATTCTCACTGAGAGCAACCCTTTTTCCACAATAAGAGGACGGGAGTTAAGCTAGACCCAACTGTATTTAAGATCAAGGTCTTGGCTCCTCTTACTGGCTTTTGCCTGACCCCTGAAATAGTTGGTTCTGTTTGCTAAATAAGGGTAAAATCCTCACTTGGAGATTTTAAAAAAAAAGCACAAAACAACAAAGAAAGAGAATGGACACGTTTCTGTTGGGTTTTTTTAAAAATCAAGCTTAGACAGCCACCAGAAGAGAAAGTCAGGTGCCAGAGCCCAGAAGAAGGTAGGGAACTGCTGCCTGTGGCAGCTGACCCAACAATCTCTTAAAAGCAGACTAAAAAACACCTTTGAGACTACCCATGTATTTAAAAGTAGACAGAAGTCCAAATGCCTCACTAGACTTCCTTGGTTCAGAGGGGGTTGAAGAATCAGTGCCGCAATGTTAAACGAAATGCAGTGGTTAGCAGTGGGCATGCTGACCCTGTGCCTTCCCATTACTCATGTTGAGAAGTCAAGGAACAGATTGCACAAACATCATGTAACCAACATTGCTTTGACAGTTTTGGTTTCTGTTTTTGATATTTGATATTAAGGTAGTCTGTTAAATGGTTCTTGTGATGTGTGCCTTGAGAGTCAGGACACTTAGTCCTTGCACTTCAGATTAAACAGGGAGAAGGTATGCTTGAGATGATTGGACAAAAGGTGCAGAGGAGCAGCATCTCTGCTCTGATGACTGACAGCATGTAGAAGGAAATGACTATGTAGGTCAGATCTCCCTTCAGCATTTCATGTAGCTGGTCAGAGGTATTTTGGAAAAAACTGAGCTTGCGAATTGGAAAAGGAATACTGTGCCTGTGAAATAATGAAAGAACAAGACTGTTGGCCCAAATATTCCCACCTGAGTTGTGATCCTGACTCCAAACACAGACTGGTGAGGTCAGATGAACATGGACAGAAAGGATACTTTCGTGGTGAGAAGGAAACAGCTGTGAAATGGTCCTTTCTTCAGGGTGGGGCTATGCTGGGTCATGTAAAGGTCAGTTCCTCCCTGTCCCTTTGTAGGAGGAAGCAGATAGAGCCAAAACTGCTCTTGTGGGGACACAGAGAACACCCATGGGGAGCCGCTGCAGATCCTGGTGAGAACGTCCTTGCTAGCATCTGGGAGATGATTCCTGAAATAGGCACTAAAGCTTCAGAGTAGTGAGAGCCTACTGAGGATGAGTAATGGACAGGTGCAAATTTAGATGTTGTCAAGCCTGGTCAGCAAAGTGAGAGGAAGATGCAGTGAAGCAGGAAGTGGTTGATGCTAGCTCACTTTCCCAAATCTCAGCAGTGAAGACAAACAAAACATCCTGAGGAGAAAGGAGCATGGGTAGCTATCAGTTGCCAGCTTTCTCAAATGTGTCCTCAGAGACACAAGTTTTTTCCCCTCAGTAAAGAACGTTTTTGTGCTGCATAGCACAGTCATACAGTCATAGAATAGTTTGGGTTGGAAGGAGCTTTTTAAGGTCATTGAGTCCAACCCTACTGTGATGAGCAAGGACAATACCATGAAGAGACGAGTAAGGTGTCTGGGCAGGTATCGAAACCAAACCAACTTCAAGCAAGATAAATCCTTTGGGGGTTCTATTGTATGTGTCTACCACTCGAACTATCTGGCATAGCTTTGCACTGGTACACCTCTGGTGGGCACCCAGTGTCTACCCAGGGTCAACCGACCACACAGCTCTGAAGTTCAAATCAATGCCAGAATGCCTACATAACTGATCTGTCCCTTTGTGCTACTGGTGCTACCTGGCAGGAGAGTTATATCTGGATACCAGGGCTAATCATCTACTATTCTTCACTATCCAGGCCTATGATATACCTTGCCTTTCCCTGTTGCACCAGGCAAGGCATTACCATCTGCTCAAGGGAGGTTATTGTCCTGCTCTACCCTGCACTGGTGCAGCTTCACCTTGAACATTGTGTGCAGTTTTGGGCACCACAATACAAAAAGGATATAATATGCATATTAGAGAGTGTCTGAAGGGGTGCAACAAAGAAGGTGAAGGGTCTTGAGGGGAAGCCATATGAGGAGTGACTGAGGTCACTTGGTCCGTTCAGCCTGGAGAAGAGGAAACAGAGGGTAGACCTCATCACTGTACACAACTTCCTTATGAGAGGAAGCAGAGGTGCAAGCACTGATCTCTTCTCTCTGGCAAACAGTGACAGGACCCAAGGGAATGGCCTGAAGCTGTGTCAGGGTAGGTTTAGGCTGGATATTAGAAAAGGGTTCTTTGCTCAGAGGGTGGTTGGGCACGGGAACAGGCTCTCCAG